CCATATGGCACAATAATTCCTAACAAATTCAATATTTTAATTTAAAGATATAATAATTCATACCTTAAACTCTATTTCACAAAACAACCAGGATCTGAAAAAAAGTTTCATAACTAATACCTTAACATTATAATCGGCTGTTTCACGAATTCTTGAACTAGTCAAAATACATGAAGCAAAGTCATCCGCAGGTAGACCTGATCCCCAATACAAGTAGTCATCTATGACAAAACCGAATTTCACTTCATATTCATTGAATAGAAGAGCATAAAATGACAAACCCTGCAATAAAAATCTATTCGACATAAAAAATATAATAAAATACTGGAACTTTGTAATATGATCCCGTGCAACAAACTAAGATATATAAGTACTCTGCTGCATCAAGTATCATTTGTTTTCTCCTTTTTGAATGAGAATTTTGTTACAAGCAAAAAGAAAGCAAAATTAAGTGCCTCCCTACAAAAGACAGCAGAAATTTTAGGTACCTGCTGAATTAGATTAAATAAGCTTGTACGGAAAATACGTGAGGCATTTCCTGTTGAGTTGCTAGCGGCACGTAAAGCCTCAATACATGTGTAAAAGCACTGTTTCCACAAATGTTGCTCCAAATTCATTGTATAGGTATAATCTATGTCTTTAGTCACAATTGACAAGTATACTTTTGAAAGCATTTCACTGAAATCATTAGTAGTATCACTTATTATGCTTTGCAAGCCGATGCAGTTGAACAATTTTATAAATTAACAGATGTTAAACACACTGGATACTAGCACATGTTCCATATACAACAATTTAGAAAAATTCATCAATGTCGGTTAGAATCCTTTAAACGCCATTGCTAATTTAATATTTTCGATGCCATCATAATGAAAACATCAGTTACATTTCGAATTTCCTAAATCCATAAAAAGATTTTTCCCCACAACTTATAACTACATAAAAAACTAACCTAACCACTAGAATTTCTTCACCAGCACTGAAATCAGCAGATTCAGCAATTCGATCAATCAACCGACTGATTGCATCGTTCAGTGACTGTATTTGAGGACCTTCGTTATTAGAAATTTTTGAATGAATTGGCCACTGAGTTGGTGGTAGTTCCTGACGATATTTATCACTCTTTACGGTTCGCTCCGGTGCTGGTTCTGAAAGAATGAATGAAATTTTTGAGATCGTTGAAGTCAAGAATTCCTACAATATTTCGTAAATTGATAAAGAGCATCAAACCTCCTGTAATGAAATTTTAGGCATGATTTTTTAATCTCATGTAGTTGTGTCTGCACAAAACAGCTTACCATATGAAACTTCCGCGGAAAAGGTCTTTGTATCAGAGGATGAAGAAGGGTGTTCTTGTGATACTTTTTTCAGCAAAACTGTTCGCATAATCTTTGACTCACCAGCTGCCCAAGTCTTTGATTTGCAGGCAATAGATGCTGTCCCACTATTAAAAATATTGGAAGTGAGAGAATCAAAAAAACAAAAATTCATAATAAAGCGTGCATTTCCTGTTATGCTACTATCAAAGATTACTTAAAACTTTAACCAAAAGTGACAACTGTTAATAAAAACAGCCTCAATGTCACAATAGTTTAGCAAGGAAAATGAAAATGTTGATAGGTTCTCACAATCCTAGTTAAACCCATTGAAATTTGAAAAATCTTTCGTGCAAGATGTTTGTATTAAATTAACACAACACTTAAAATCTGCACTTTTCTAAGTAAATGAATTATCATTACAGGAACATTTGCTTCTAACAGTTAAAATGGGAATAAACGATACAATTTTGCTAAATGGTAATTGATGTCAAAGTATTTGAAATGCACATATCTAAAAATTTTTAAATGAAGCTTCTGAATAGTTCTAAACCATATAGAACTTACTTAGTTTGCCACTGATCACTACACTTTTTTGCTTCTTGGTTATCAGAATCATCATTAGTGTCATCACAATTTTTATCCGTACGGGCCGATTCACAGTCTGGAATATTAAAAAATGAAACTCTATCTACAGGATAATACAGTGCTTTTTGGACACCCAAGGACGTCACAACGTATAATTTCTGTGAAAACCTTGATTAATTATTCGAACTTCTTCATCCATTTCCTTCTCACTACTTTTATTCTCCTCCGAATGTGACGTAGCTGTTTTTCCAGTACTAACAGATATAACTTCCTTAATACTTTCTACATCATTCTCCTCAATATTTTCAGCACTATTTGAAGTCTGAATTGTGACGCTATCTAAAAGAACATCAAAAAATTGCGCATTTACTTTCCACGATTTAAATTTGTAATACCTAAAAGATCTTTATTTATTTGCAAACTACGTCTCAAAAAATTTACATTAAAGAGAAATTTTTAAAGATAATTACCATTTCGCTGTCTTAGTAACAGACGATGAGATTTATTATTTTCATATGAGATCGGTAGCGTTTTAGCATGTCCAGAATGTGACTGGCTGCAATCACCAGTGTTGCGATAACTATTAACACTCTCTACATGTTTTCGCATCCTTGACATGTGTGTGCTTTCTTTCCGAGAACTACATGGATTGGCACATAACAGATCCTTCTGTTTTCTACATGACTGTTCTCGCTCCTTCTAAATGTATTTATAAATCTATATTTTGTAAAAAGAGTGTAACGTTATCTATAAAATACCTTCTTTCTGGCAAATCTTATAAAACCTACTCCAGAAGTTTAAACTGTAAAAAAAAATTAAATAAAATATTGCACACATATAAAATTGTTTTTTTTTAAATGCGTAAGAATTACTTTGCGCTGCTCTTCAGCTTCTACAGCCGAACTCCAATCAAAAGACGACAAATCAAATGAATCGAAACTTGCACAAAAATCCTAAATTGAGTTGAACTATGAATGACGTATAAAATATGAAAATTATAAAAGATAACTTCTTTTAGAGCTTCACAAAATTGCAAAAGTAAAGTGAAGAAGCAAAGATGAAAAATACATGAAAATCTTGAATTACAAGATTGTTCGTCCCGTAACCACAGGTTTTTTTTCTGGCATAAAAGTATTTGAAAAATTTTCTATAACGCTTTGTGATGCATATAAAAAAATTAAATTCTAAGCAGTTTTAAGACAACAAAAAAAATGTTAAAAGCCAGTGTTATGCATTTTATTATTACAAGACACAATTAAAGCACATAATCAAAGTAAATGGAATAGAAATAAAAGAACCTCGAAAGTTTTATGCTTTGATGGTGTCTCACATTCCGTTTTTGAAACTTCCATTTTTGCAATACTCTGAAAAGATAAAGAACACAATTAGTTCTCTAAATTATAGCTAGCACATATTTTACAGAACTGTTTATAACAAGTGAAATGCTGAACAGTATAATGAGTTTTTAAACAGATCTATGCTTCACTTCATCTATTTCTCAAAAACGTTACAAGTAACATCTGAAAATTTATTTTTGACCAACATCGCTATGCGCAGTAACAAATTTTTTTGCCCTTGCAAAAACTTATACAAACATGAACCTATGAAAAAACACATTCTTCTTTTTCAATTTTATACATCCCGACTGCAACACTTCCAGATTTACTCACAGTTACAACTTCGCAACTTCCCAAGCCCGAAAACATATACTTTGTAATCTATTCTTAGAAATTTCATATCTAAGATGTCTCGGATGTAAAACAATATCCACGCAGTTAATGAAAACAACTTTTCAGTTGTCAAAAAAAGCCAATGATTCCAAATGCAGAGAATGTGAAATATAAGACCAGCAACTAACAAAACTTCTTCTGTCAAGTATTTTTTAAATTAAAAGTTGACTATTGATAAGCTTCACACAAACATAATTTAAGGTAAAAAAACAAGACGTGACCGTTTAGTTAGAATGAAAGAAACACCATGAGATAATGAATAAAATTTCGCTTGAAAGTTATGATAAAAAGATTGTATAAATAATCTATTTAAAAGAAAAGTATGACATCCAAACCTTATTATTCTGTACAGCATTAATTTTACAATCAAGTCCACTGCTTTTAGTGTTTTGGTAGCGATAACGAAGATTAAACCTGTCTGACTTACTGCTTCTGAAAGACCAATTTTGCTGACGATCTAGTGGAATGCAGCGCACAAAACTTTCGTCTGTACATAATTGCTCCTGTAAAAAGAATTTCTTGAACATGACATGAAAAGAGTCTTTCATACATCTTTTTAATTGTGAACAAAAAATTGCTGAATTCGCAAAATAGATGATATGTGAATTAACGACAGCTACTTTTTATTTCACTAAAATGCCATTTTAAAAAAACACGTATCACTTCCTGCTCATTAAAAATGAACTGAGCTTTTTTTTAAAACTTTACATGCCCAGCAGTACAGTTTTTTTTTTCTCTTTTTTCGAATAAATTATATGTCGTTATCTTGTAAAATAAAAAGTTTTTTACACAATCTAAGTACTTATTCTACATCAACCAATATGAACAAACACTCATATTTCTGTATTACTTCACACGTACTTTGCCGTGAAGAGCATGATGTTTGCTAGAATTCCGTCTTACATCACCACTTCTATAATCAAATCGGTGCTGCCAACGGCTATTCCTGGTTGTATTACGTCCTCTTCTACTGATACTATTAATATTCTGAAACTTGGATGCATTTCCAAAAATACAACAACTGTTTGTTTACGACAAAATATAGAAAAATACGACACAGATATTATCACTAAATGCCTACAAATCCAATACATAGTTACTGTGTGACGTGAGCATAATATTTAAACTCAAAATGAAAGATAAACAAACTGATTCATACATTGGATCTAGCTAAATTTACATCAGATGCTGTAATATGATCACACGGTGTTTTACCATCAGAATATGCCATACTGGAATTATCGTGACTGTGGCCATGACTGTTTCCTGATACATGTTCGCACAATGATTGGGAAGAACTCTAAAACAAATTACTGTAGAGAAAATTGTGCGTGTCAGATAGGCCCTAAATTTCACATATAACTTGAGTCCAATTTGAAAGCTTTAAATTTTGCTCCTTTAAAATAAATGTACATATACATATACAATAACCTCCGTGTGATATTGACTGATTTACAATTATATATATAATGCTATGGAGATCAATAAATTTCGCTAAATCTTTAACTTCTAAGTTTAAAGCATACATGAAGATTAGAGGAACCGGAGTACAATCGTTTTTTTTGACATGAATTCAAGCTTTCCACGAGATGGTCACAAGATTTATTAATAGCATTCTTCTGTGATTTCCTAAAATCTGCTACCTGTTTCGAAGAAAAAGATGAACCGTTGCCACTTTGTTTTCGATTTAGATTATAGTAATCTGAAACACGCAATTTTTACACCTATAAATCCGAAAATGAAGAACCAAACTTCTCCAGTCAAATTTTTATTGCATGTTATTTGCAAAAACATAGAAGAGATATAATAATAAAAATGAAAAATCCTTCCACAAAATTTCTAAAATTGAAATAATCTTTACCATTTTGTTTAAAAATATAATTACGTTCATTCTCATCACATCTTTGCCAAAGCCTGTCATGTACGAATTCTTGATTCAGAGTGTCTCTTCGGCCTCCTTTTTTTCCACCATTTTCTTTGTCATTATTCAACTCTAGATTTTTTAGATTACATAATCAAGATTTCTGTTGTCGAGTAAAATGAAAAATATATTTTGCACACGATCACTGCTTTCCCTTCCCCATGATAAAGTCTAAAAAAAGCATTTTAACAACTGCTTTTTTAATAAACCTCCTAGAGAGTCCACTTATGTTCAGAAAATTAAAAACGAAACTAATGCCTGAATGTCTATCACATCAGACAATCAAACAATAAGCCAATTATTCTAATTACATCGAATCATGTAATTGTTTAAAATACTTAGTTCGTGGTTTATTCTGAAATAATGTTCACGAAAATGACAAAATGTAATGTTACGTCTACAAATTTTTTGCAAAAAATATCAACATAGTCAACTGCATTACAAATGTCATAAGAATTTCGAAAATTCAAACCCAGATTTTTGCTGTCGAACTTCCTCACTAATTTTACTGATTCTGGTACTTTTTCATTCTTTTTCTTAGTTGAATTTTCACCATCTGCTAGATTTCTAAGCATTCTAGGACAATAAAGTTGAACAGTAGGACGCACTTTCCGAGCGCTATCATTCTGTGTGATTTTCGAAGTATCTTTCTGCATTAGTCCATGAATCAAATATCAATGAGAAAAACTGCAAGTCGAAAGTATATATTACTTTAAAACATAATTTACAAACCATGAGAATGAGAAGTGGACTGAAATGATATGACAATGCCATAAATTAGAGCTAAGATACAGAAAAAGCTAAATATTAAACTGAAAAAAAGTGATCAAAAATTTCGAATTCGACTGCGTCACTGTTTCAAAGGCGAGAAATGCTAGCGAAAGAAGCCAAATAATTGCTGTCTGTTGAAATTAAATGTTATACACGACACAAACTTGAAGCAAGAAATTAGCTGATTAAATATCTGTTAGCTTGTCTACTTGAAAACACTGAGAAAACTCGATAAATCTTCAGATCGGTCAGTTTTTTCTTCTTATCAATAGCACGGACTAACGTCGGATTTTGTGTAGTTGACCCACGCTTCGCGAACTAATAGTGTTGGGAAGAAATCTTGATAAAACACCTATAACTACGAGACGACCACACTTCACTGCCAATCTCAATTAATGACGCACTCATAATCACTTCTCACATATAAAAGGCTGACATTTCAAAGTAACACTTACACATTTCTATAATCAATTTTCTCAAAATCATACGCAACTGTTAAATCTCGATCGGGCAACTGTTAAATCTTGGTTCCATTATTTCCAATAGAGACTCAATTGTGGCAATATGAATAGCTTGTCTTTTCTTGCTATCTCCTCACTTAATGGACTTGTGGATTTCACGTCTGATAATGCAAGCACCATGAAGTCAAGAGTGAACCGAACTTTCGTCGAAAAACAAATGGGCTTATGTATGTGGTCATGCCATTTCACTCCAGTAAGTACATGGTTTTGTCAAAAGTTTTCAATATAATTATTTCATATTCAAACTTCTTTGACTGAAGACCATTCGATTATTTTCCCTTCTCTAGCGCTGCGTTGCTGCATTCTCTGCAAATACTGTTGGTCAAATGCAAGCTTAATTGATTACGAGCAAGAAATTGGTTGGATGGAAGCAAAAATGTATAACTACTACTGCACTTCTGCACTCTGTCAATAAGTACACTAATAGCGGGAAAACCTTTTCACTCCCAAGTCAAGCATGCATTGTTTCTAGACACTCACATATATATGGCTCCTCGCTCGGAGACAATTACGACTCATTAGAAAATAAGTTTGACTAGCACAAGCCATATAGCTGAGTGGTCACTTCAGCAGAAAAGCACCATTAGTTAAGAAAATATCCCTGCAAGTTGCAGTCATACATCCTTGTGACGATGCCAGGATCTTTCAACTTCATTCATCACAAGAACAGATGGTATGCACAGATTTAGCACGTGCTCCAGATTTGGAAAATTCCATAAAATACTAGCATAGTCTATTTCAAACTTTTAGAGAATTCATATTACATGCCCTAAAGAACTTCTTTCTACAGACAAATAAATATTGAAAATAATCTGATTCTTCTGACAATTACCCTACATATCTTTTTTCTAGAAAACAATCAGCCCTGACGTATATGTATTTTTTATCAACATAACTGATTTGGAACTAAGCTTTTTTCGTTTGAAGAAAGCAACATCCCAATCCATGCTGGTAGTTTTGCATACGATGTTTCTCCAGTAATACAACTAGAATTTTTAGAACAAAAAAAATTCCTAAAACATGCCACGACTCTAAACAAGGAAATAAATAATAATGTGAAGAAAACCCAAGCTATTTCTGTTTCAACAAAAAAATGGTGCAATCTATAAGCACTGAATTTTGAAATAAAAGCGTGTCAACTTTCAGTAAATGAGATCAGTGAATGACTGAAATACCATCACATACGTAACGGTATAAAGCCTCTGGAAATTAAGGATTTCGAAACGACTGTTGAACGATATGAAGCACAACATAATCCACAAAAATTACTCACCGTTACTACAAATTCTTGAAAATTAATATTTCTAATTTAATCGAATTTTAAATATACAACTACATTCAGTATGAACCTGAAGTGTTAACAAATTTTGAAAACAAATATTTCCATGATTTCAAACAAGAATAATAGTGTTTGACATGACAAGTGTTCAACAGCGAAAAATTTTTTTCCATTCTTCTAGTGAAAGTACCAAAGAGATTAATAAATATTTTCTATGGCCATAGTGTGAATAAAAAATTAATAAAATATTTATAAGAAAAAAAGCACTTATAAACACTGCTTTGACAACCGAGTGAAGATAATTATCACATTTTATAACACAGCAAGTCGTACGTTATAGTTCAATTGCAGCGTAATTTTCAAGCAATCTTTCCCTCCATTATTTGTTTTGACTTTCGATATAATAAGCATCATCACTAAGTCTGAATACCATCATTATTTCCACGGGAATTCGCGAACATAATAGATAAAAAGAATAAACTGAGAAAAGTGAGCAGTAGCAACGAAAACCGATCCGCATATTGAGGAAATAAAAACATGCATGTCCAAAGTATCAGAAATTTCACTGCAACGACATGTTTGTTTATGTAAAAACATGAAAATATCAATATTTCAGTAATAAAATTATATTAGCACTGATGTGATAAATTCGCTATAACTGCCAACCTTTAAAACTACTATACTTCCAACTATGAAACGTATTTTGCTCATCTAACTTAGCAAAAAATCAAGTTTTATGGCACTTTGTTCGCAAAATGAATCTCGAAAAATTACGCACTGTCATCCAGTGTTCCTTCATTCGGTTTTGAAAAGAAATATCTAATTACGTGAAAACTTTCAATAATTTTCATGTTTCTTTGTTTACTACAGAAAACGTGGTACAATATAAAGTGAACACTAAATATTGTACAGGAGCTAACAACTGTTACTAAATGTTCAGCACTTCAAAATTTTTGTAGTTTACCTATAAAAATTATATAGACATATTGACCAATTGAATTTCCTAATATATTCTGATTCCATCTCATATGCGTTGCTGCATCAGCTGCCGCATCCAATGACTGATTTTCCACTGTTACAGTCATTGGAACTGGTCCCATAACCATATTATAGATGTATCGAGAAGCACGTAGAAATGCATTGCGTATTCTCAGTACCCTCAAATAAATGACTTTGAGGCACAAATGTGTGATTTGTGAGAAGAGACTCACTTCAATATTTTAGATTACTTTTTGGTTTCTAGTAATTCTGACTTCTATAACAATTTTCAACAACCAGTTTCAACTGCTATTAGTTTATTAGAGAAACGTTTAAAATTTCATATATATATACTATACGTGAGCACAGCGTATATAGAAGTTCGTTACAACATCCCAAGACATCAAAAACGAAATTATCTTCGCCCTGCATTTCATCTCTGCACCAAATTTAATTACACTTTCACTTTTTCTCAGTCTCAACTGTTGTGAAGTCTAGTGATTCCTTCATCAGGATTACTTTATGTCATTTCTTATCTTTCAGCACATATCCGGTCGACCTGCATTTATTCTGTCTCTGTCCTTTTCTCATCAGATTCATATTTACATTTACAACGACCTTCTGAACAGAATGGCTTTGCATGTGTGGGAATGTTCTCAAACCACACTTCTTGCAGAATCCTAAATGAACGCATCTTGAGACCTCATAATGTTTCCTAGTATAGTCATGATGCAGCACTTCCTTACAATACATCTTCACTTTCCCCACAATGTGAGCACACATTTCTTCCAGTTCCAAATACATTTTTATTTAGATCACAAAATCGCGCTTCATCTTGTGGGATAATGTTTCAGTATCACATCTATATTAATGAACTAGCCACTGAAGATAGCTAACTTCTCTACATTTTCGATAGCTTTGCATGAAGAATTTTTCTATTTATTTTGCTATACAGGAGAGCTTTCTGAGCTGCAGTTGAATTGAGTTGTCCACGAAGCTATATTTACTCATAAGGTAGAGTATAAAACTGCAAAGTGTATAATGTGCCTCAAAATCGCCACCATCTTACATGCAACAGAGAAAGGAGTCTAATGTAAATACATACATAGAATCACTGTGATTATCCTCGATGGAATGACCTCGAAAAGTCTGGACTATCCTGCGAGTAAAATCACCTCCTGCTGCTGTAGTTGCTATCGATTGCGTACCAGCTATTGCTGCAATAGCTGCTGCAGCTGTCCCGCTATTTATATCTGAAAAGACCGTCTACATATCACCTTGATTATTCAAGTTCTCAAGTTCTTCATAGCGTCAATTGTAATATTATATATATACACACATATATACAATATAGTAAAAAAAACCGTCTATATATATAATATAGTGAAAATATTTATACATAAGAAATTAATAAATTTGATGACGAATGCTGTTAAAAAAAGACTTACCATCATTTTCATGTGAAAATGTACTTGATAAAGCACTTGAAAAAGCGGAAGGCTGAGCGTAAGGTGTCGTACTCACATGGCAATGAACAACGCACTGATCATGCAAACCATAACTTAATAATGAGCGTGTATCATCTCGTAGAAGCTGTCCGCGATATATTAATCGAACTGCTTTGCCTGCATGTATTGAATCCCAGAAATAGCGCCTCAAATATTTACAACAATATATATATATATAAAAGATAGTAAAAAGCATTAAGTTGTTGATAATCATTAAGTATTAGAGTAAATAAATACTAACTTTCTCTATCTTTTATATTAAAAAATGTACCTCGAAATAAAATGATCTGAATCCCTGTTTCGCTAAATACGTATGTTGCCTTATTTCTAATGAAAACCCACTTTTTCCATTTAAAAAAAAAACTAAACTTTTTCACACCAAATTTAATAATGAAGAAGTACTTTGCTAATTAAGAACAGTATGGATATAGCAAAACCTTTTAAACTGTCCTACAGTAGATTCCAATTCTGTACAAGCAGTAACTTGCGAATCATCCAAGAATTTTAATTTCACAGACGATAATTGACGTCTTTCAGTACCTTTTTCTTTTTCATCAAATTGATAAGCCGAATCTGAAATCTTGGAAGCAAAAAATTGACGAAATGATCCCCAGTAACTCAATTTTTCATTATGATATTCACTCGTGATGAAATCGGAAAGTAAACCTTTCAAAACTTTGATTTTTTTCATCTTTCAACTGCAATTGTAGTTAAACTTATAAAAACATTCTTTATATCATATATAAAGAATGGCATTCCAGTGTATATTATCTGATCATACATGAAGAAACTTGCCACTAACAACAGCTGATAATTCATGCCTTGATCCATTCTCCGAGTCCTTTTCGGCTGAAGTCTGCAAATAGCATAATCCTCATTAAAACTAAAAGTAATAAACTCGATCTGTGCAATCAAAAATCCATATATTTTATGCCTCTTAGCTATCATATATATCCTGGAACTAATTAAAAGAGAATTGTGATTGCAGTATTTTTTAATCTTCGTTTATGAAAAATAATCACTCTGCTCTATTTAGAATAAAAAATTTTCCTAAGAAACATTGTTCAAATAAAGCTTGAACTTGCATTTGGAGCTGAAGTTGAAAGACTTTCACTATGCTGGTCTCTAGTTCCTGAAGTATCACTCACAGAGAGTACATTTTGCTCATGATCAGTTGCCTGAAAGTATGCGCAGTTATAAAAATAGACATGGGAAACGCAAACTAACAAAAATACTCAACTTGTTGTTGTACTTCGAAAACTGAAATCATGACCATAGAACACGCAACATTTTTGAGAAGAATGAAAATATCATATAAATTAACTGCATTTTTATCCATGTTCTGTAAATTTTAAGGCAAAAATTTTCTCATTTCAATATGTTTTGAAAGACGCCAGTTTTACTTTTCAATATAATTGGTGATAAATATTGTTTTTCGACAATAAAATCTGAATTTTAAAGGATTAATCATTCTAATACTCAAATTGCATCTTTAATTAATTAACAAAAAGTAATAGTCAAGAAACCAATTATACAGCGAGACAAAATTGACGGTAAACGAAATTGTAACTGCTATGCAACAAAATGAAAAAAGTTTTGATAGAAACAGGACTTTAGAATGTTGAATGGACAATTGTTGCCAAAAATATTACTTGCTCTGTGGTCATAATTTAAAGATTTTGAGACAATAAAAAATACTTGGTCATTTTGTAGTTCTTCCCAATTATTGATATCGATGTTTTCACTCCTGAAAAGTACAATTATAAAAAAAAACACAATAAAACATGTGTCAGAAGTTACAGAATATAGCACTTTTCAAAATATTTCAAATTTTAAAGATGCAACGCGAAAAAACAACTGTCTTGCGCTACATTATAGAACAAGCGCAAAAAATATTTGTTCTTGCGTTGCATCTTTTTGAAAAATAGCGTGAAATCTTATGACCGTGATGGCACTGCTTCATTTGAAGGGTTACTTTGTTCTATAATGCCATCATCCATTAGAGCTTCAAGTGTTTCTTCTGTGACTGCACTTGACTGCGGCCTTTCTGGCTGATTATGTAGTAAATTTATCTCTTGATTATCTACTTGCAGCACCTAAATTTTCTTCATAATTTTTTTGTTGTAATATTTCAATTTTAAATCATTTCTACCAACAACAAATTTTACGCAGCTTTGTGAAGTAATTCTGATTCATTCTCATTCAACAAATTTACCATCATTAATATATAGGAGAAAAAAAATTATTCGTCTATCTTCTATTCATCAATAGAATATTCGACTAAAGAAGTAAAAAGCAAAGTGAAAACACCTGTATAACTCTTCTATTTGGATGAATTTGCATTTGAACTAGCCAGACATAATAATCAACTGGCGGTAAATGTGTACTTATCCATGCCAATGAAATCAATATGACAACAATCACTGCTATTATAAACCAAATCACCTCAAAAAATGGAAATTAAAAGAAATGCATCACAATTATTACTACCATTAACTTTCACAATAAAATATCCTTAATTAATTAGTGATATTTGAAATGAATCATAATTTGAGCAAATTTTGAAAAATGTTATCTGATCTGCCAATTAACCAGTACCCTTCAGATGCACGACATACTCTAAAAATGAATTGCAAAGGAGTAAAAATTACTATAAAATCAAAAGTGCAGATGAGAAAAAATTATAATTAAATTGCAAGCATAAGTTCCTATTTTACATGAAAACTTATTACTGCGCAGTCTGAACAGGTGGTGCTATATACCAAAATATAAATGATATAGTACCACAAAATAATAGTAATTCACATCATAAGCTGCAAATTGATTGATTTTCGGGAAAAATATTCGGCTATTTTATTCTGTGTGCACATAAATAACCAAAACAATCATAAAAAACAGAATATGAAATGTCAAACCTCATCACCGATGCCCTCAATAGCGCCGGCCATATGTTATGTAAACTACGCAAACAGTTTAACCATTCATATCACTACTTCCTCAGGATTGAGCACAAAACTGCTACTATGAGATTACAAACCCACCACCACCAGTACCCTAATACCGAACAGTGATTCCGAATCACTCAGAAATCTGAAACAAAACTTACTTCACTCTGCAGAGACAACATTTTTCGAGGTCCCGTTGAAATCGGTCGATTCCTTCATTCAAATAATTTGTTCATGTATAATATGCTGTCTAATAACAGCAATTTTTCATGGCATATCTTGCCAGCACCTTATTTATATTTTGTCAGTGTCGCATCAAACTTGCTCTTTTCGGTGACCTTTGAATCCCCGTGAGAATATTGCACGCACAATGTTATAACAGTGTGCAGCGCACACAGTTTTCTTGACGAGAGTGTTGTAATTTGTCTTTTGCATAAATGAATGGAAAAGTTGGTAAATTATGTGTGAGGAAGTATTAAATAAATAGGGAAGATCAGATCAGTCAGGCTTATTCTTACTGATTTTCATCCAGAAGTTGGTTTATTGCAGTACAGTTTCATAGGATATCATCATGAGAGTTTATCATGTCCTTCTTGCACTTAGATGTGTTATGGTTGTAAGTTTATTTTCACTCAGTAAATTATTGGCAGTTATGACATGTTGCATAAATTGTGACATCGTAGTTTGCTTAAAGTTTGTTACAGATGAAGGATCGATGGATTAGCTTTCTGAACAAAACTTGCAATCTTTCCATTTCTCACATTTCAGTTCTTGTCTGTATGGATAGTAATCTGTGGAGCGACATCTTCCACCAGCAGTCGTGAAATATTAGTTGTTGCCATCACACTCGCAGCTTTACTTCTCGTCTTTTGTATTTTCTTGGTCGTGGATTGTTTGAAAAAGTACTACCTTCAGTATCCAGCGGTATTATTTCTACTTTATCATAATAAATGTTAGGATCAAATTTTTGTATTTATTCATTTGATGATCAATTTGCGAGATTATTAATTCATTACATGAGTAAAAATTTGCATATAACTTCAGCGAATAGCGCTTACTATGGCTCGGAAAACCCAAGTAACAAAATTGTATTGCAAGGTGAAACCAAAGCCTGGTCTCTCTCTAAGAATTGTTTCAGTACTGGTAGAATCACCTTTACTGGACTGGACCAATGCTTTCCATGATTATATGAGCTTTTATAATGTGAGTGATTGAAAAAAAAAGTCAAAATTTGTTTGTTGAGTAAAAATATAGAAAGAGATTACTTAATCTAGCAGTAATTGTACATCTAATATCATTAGAAGACAAAAAGTTCAGATATTCGCAATTTTCATTACAGTCCACGAACAACAAATCCTGTTTAACTATTTTACTTTGATGAATGCATTGGTTCAGTCAAGTTTGTTAAACATCAGTGCTTAGATTTAAGTAATTAATGACGTGTTTGCATGATTAATGACTTAATTGCATGTGTAATCTGCAATATTTACTGCTCAAAACGCATTACAATTGTTTTCAATCACCAAATGATTGAAATTGTATTTTAATATATTACTTAATGCAAATTAAGTTAGCAATGCATGCTAGAAAATGAAATTTTAGTTAAAATATGTAACATTAGTGGGTATTCTTGTCGCTGGAATTACCGCATGGTTGGTTACGATATCAGCTACAGTCGGTACATTATCAACAATTACTGTAGTAAGTTATTGCATTTATTTGCATGATAATATATTGAAAAACGAAAAAATAAAATAAATATACAAAATTTTTTTCCACAAAATAAATTTAACTTCGTCAAACAAATACATCATCAAAAAGAGTACAGTTCAAAATACATTCTTAATTTTTCAACTGATTTTAAAAATAATTATTAGAACTTTCGAATCAACAAAAACTAATTCGCCGAAATCAAAAAATAGCTCAAAATAACAAGTTTCTTCCATTGTGTGTCTTCTCAATTATCTCTTAGTTCATATGTAAGTTTGCAGTAATCAATTATTCGGAATATTTCTAGGGGAATGCTTGGCATTTGATGACCTGTTTTATGATGGACTCCATGACACAGATGCATGTCGGTGCAGCAGGTCGATTAGTTATTACTCAAAGATCAACGTCATGTGTAAGTGTTGTAGCATAAACATTTAAAAAAACATGCAGTTTTATCAACTATGGCTTGAAAATGCTTTCGTTATTTCGTAGCAGACAGTTAACAAGAAAAGCTAGCGTATACTGTGTTTTTTATACTAGCCTGCAAGTGAATATAGTAAAGTCATCTTTACGAGATTTTGTCTTGTCACATTAAATTCAGCATTGAACTTTCAATGTTTCACTCCTTATTGCATTACAAGCGAAATACATGCAAGTATTTTAGACTCATAAAAGTGCTTAAATAATCACTAAAGTAGGTAAGATGACTAATTTTTTATGAGAATGAATAAATACATGCATTTTCTTGCTCAGTCGAAAAGAGTATTTCTCGTCTATCACTGTTAAATTATTATATTGTATGATAGAACGTTGAAAAGAATTACACTTTTTATTCAAGCAGAAATATTTATAGTTCTGTGACAGTTAGCTCAGACTTGTTAGTTTTCTTAAAGAGTAGTATTTCTGAGCCATTAAGTATGCCCAATTTGCCAGCCTCAACAATACTTTTCACTGTGCCAGTTAAAAACACTCGTTTAAAATGACAAAATCCTTTAGGCATGATATGAAGTGCTTGTGCGGTCGAAATCAGCCAATCGATCAGAGGCGAGCTGGAAATTTATTCGTTAATTCGAAAACCACGCTCAATGGATTTAGTGAAGAATTTTAAAAACAAATTAATATCAATTTATTTGATCACTGCTGCAGGTTTCAGTGTTTAAACTCTATGCTTACGAGAGGGAATAAGAGCTTCAGTTTATTTCTTCAAAGCCACCCTACCTACCTGAATTCAAAAAGTGCTAACGCATATTAATGCTAAATAAGTACAGACTTTGAATTCAGAATTAGCAGAAAATAAACGAACATAATAGTTTTATACAAACAAACTAAAGTATGTGTTATAAACTCTAAATGATTTGCATTACGTTTGCCTCATAGTTGTATGGTTGTTTGAATGTTAGAAACGGAATTAAACAGTAATCTGCAAGCAATGGATGTCTTATGTTGAATAGGTTAATAGAACTTTACTTAGAATATTTTCAAGTAAAAACTAGCCTGATAAGCCACATGAATAAAGACGAGTGCGAAAAACAATAATAGTATGGATTCCCAGTCTCTTTATCAAGATCAATACTTTTTATCAATTCTAAACCAGAAGCTTCTGCAACACTTATCATCTCTTTCCTGAAAAAGTTATTCTAGTAGATAGAGATTTCTTAAACACAAAGAATTTGATGATAATTTTAACCCGTGTGATTGAAAGACTATATGTTGGAAATAACCTTCCGTTTTTAAAAGCTTGCCTGGTATGCAATGAAGGCATTCCACATGCATATTCCAAGTTTTTAATAAGACTTCTGCTTTCTTCAGAAGCAATCCCGAATTTATCGGTCTTTAGTAGGTCATAAACAAGAAACAATCCACCGGGACGTAGAATCCGGCTGACTTCTAGCAAAGCAGGTTCCAAATCAGGCAGATATTTCAAAGCATAAACCTTAAAAATTTTGTCAATATTTTTCACTTGAATAATAACAATTACAATGAATTATTTTCCAATGTGCAGTTTAATAATAGCCGTCAACTTGATGTGGTGAATTAAGAAAGAGATATAAAATTATGCACACCGCATAAGCGCAATCGGTTTGATTGTCCAGTAATGGCAAGCAGCAGCAATTACCCTGAACAATGCGACAATTTTTGATATTTTTCTCCTTGAAATGTTCATTCCCAGTGACAACCTCGTTGCTTGCTATTGTGATACCAGTTATATCCGCTCCAGTATCCGCTAAATCTTGCATAATGCCACCAATACCACAGCCGATATCGACACACCTCTTGTCTAAATTCTAATGTCATCCAGTAATTTAAATAATTTTGCTTTCTGCAAGCGAATCAAATCGCCTCAAACAATAACTTTAACCTTTGGCAAGTTCCAAACACTGCGCGATATGCTGGTGAAGTTCTCTCAAAGCATCTACCATAGACTGTTTTTCATTTCGAGGAGGTGCAAAGTGAAAATTCCCATTGAAATATTCATCGATAACTGAGGACATAACTGAATAATAATGAGCTGTGACGGCCGAAAAGTCCGACTTTGCTTTTGCTTCTTTGTACAAACGATCATGTTCTTCACTGAAGAGCACCTGAACCTTTCGCTAATTTAGAACACCTAGATGAAGCTCCATACCATTATAAAATCATAAACCCGCATAAACAGAATCTCATGCTTTAGCAATACTCAAAAACTCTGTGCTAACTAATAGTTTCTATTTTCTTGAAGTGAAGTATTTATGCTCTAAAATTATTTTCTCCTTAATGATGATATACGAACAGAACTGTGACGAGTCAAATTTAACAAGAATCTTTATTTTGCGGGCAATTACAATAAAACTGCAATCAAATTTTAAAATATAGACAATTAATTATGCGTGCACAAGAGAAATGGTACAGATGATAGAACAATACGTTGAAACAGTCTTCAAAATGCTACAAAGGTCTGATAATTGAAGGTAGCCTAAAGTAAATGTTTGCATTAACTTCAGGTATTCTACTTCAAATAAACGCAAATATTTCCGATCCGGTTCTGACTTAACACACTGTTTTACTTACTGTTAACACTGTAAAGTGTCAAGCATTAAAAACATTTGAAGAAAAAGCTGATCAAAACGTATTGGACTATATATTGACATAACTTCAACAAAAATCGACAAAAATACCTATTAATTTACCGACTCAAAAAGCTTCGATTAAAGCTGTTATATGCTATACTGGCCCTAAGAATGTTTACGAACTTCAAAACTAAATTATTTTCAAAAAATTTCAATTTCATGAGAAGTTTTCAAAATAGGCTTAAGAATTCACAGAGTAACATTTTTTATTTTCCAAAACAATTCATATAACGATTACTGTAAGTAGTCTACTGAATCGTTATTTTCGTCATCTTCTATATATTATTTATTCATAGCTCAATTATTTGCAATATTTTCAAATGACAGATATTAAAACGATTAAATTCAGCATTTCCTGAAGGAAACCGGAAATACGTAAGCAAACCAAGAAAACCTGACTACAGAAAGCAAGATTCTTCAAGTATTTAAGCAAAAAACTATTACCAAATCTTGTCGTCGAAACTGCCGTAATAGTTTGAAGAATTGTGAAGTTAAATTAATCGACATGGCGAATAGAAAAGAATGATAACAACGAAGTGATCGTGTTCCCCCTTATGGTTTTTGCAAAGGAAACAGATTTGATGAAATATGTAAAGAAAATGGCACAGCCTACTCTCATTGTAAGGCAGTATTGTTTTAACAAGCGTAAATATAATAGTAGTGAAGATGCAGACACATCACAAAAAATTACACTTGCGACATATATGCAATGTACAAAATAAAAAATAGACTGATCTCACACTGAAGTGATTTTTTCGACATTTAACCAAACAATCATAACAATTTTAAAATATGGCATGCTTTCATTACTATAAATTAAAGCCCCACATTCCCTACACTCACTTACTTCCATTTAGAATTGAGTTGAACTTAAGCAACCTCAAAGACAAATCTTAATAACAAAAAAGAAAAAACTGATCTTATGCTTTAATTATTTGCATTAGCCAGCGGCAAATGAAGAATAAGTGCTTTGGTAAGCGCAGCAGCACGAACACTACTATAAGCCTGAAAAAAATTTCTAACTTAAGATGTATTCAGCAATATGTATGATGTAAAGAGAAACTACTAGGCGCTAATTATTCGAATTTTCCTTAACATGCACGTAAAATCCAAATATTTATTGTACTCTGATATGCACATACTTTATATTTTAATTAAATGCACAAGTGCTCGCAAGTATATAAGTGTTCATAGAAATCATTAATAAATTTTAAACAAAATTACACTCTCCTATTCAGCAAACTTTACCTGCCAAATACGCCCAGCACGACTCTGCCCATGCTGGTAATCAGCAATACCACGAATAAGTGCCCAACTATCAATGCGTGAACCATTTACAGCGGCAATGACTGAGTCGAAACCAGCATCCACTGCTCGTAAATTGTGCTCTGTAGCAAATTTGTCACGTAAATGCGCTGCTGCACTACTTGTATCTTCACTCACCTGAAAATTAGAGTGATTATTTATATAATAATATATATACAATATATATCTTTTGCTTTTTTGCTCACCAACTTTTCAAAACATCAATTACCTCATATCTTATTCCATTCCAGTTAACAAAAACTATCTCCTAGAACAATATCTTTATATTTACTCAAGTGACACCACAAAAATTTTCTTCAACATAGGCCAATCCTTACTGAAATATGAAAACGTTCATAAATATAAGTAAAGACCTAACACAAAAAAAAATTTAAAGAATTAGTCTAAAAATTAAAACTTTAAAATTACTTGCTCCTCAGTAACAGAAGTTTGCTTTCTGTAGGAAACCATTGCTCCGATTGAACCCACATGAACTACGGAGTTGACTCTGTCCCAATTGGGGTGTGGAATGACAACCATTTGTCCACCACCTTAAATATGGAAGATTTGCTCTGAATCGATCGTTTAATTCACATGATTATGTCAACAAAATTTCTAAAGTTCATCATTTTTTTGTCACAAAAAGATTTATACCTTACACTTGAAGACGTGATTAGTTTATTTTAACCATAATTGGACTCACCAACTGGTACAGCTAATCTATCCGCTTGAGGTGGTGGTCTTGCGAAGTTCATGTCGCTATTAGTTGTGTCCAAATGATCAATCGCTTCCTTAGTAATTGAATCCCATTCAGTCATCATTTTGTCATCGCTGAAAAATCAATAAAAAATAATACCTTAATTTCCAGTAAAAATTTTTCGTTACTCTTCAATTCGACTTCTTTTTATACATTTGTTAGTATCAATTTTGTTTTCATCCTAAATATATTTATATTCATTGAAAAAAAAAACTAGCATATTTTTTGCGATATGGCTAATGATAGGATCCTGAGGATCCCATTTGCGCACGAGGAATCCATCAACATGTTCTGTAGCCCTGTCAACTGTATATGAATGCGTAAATACATATGAATGCGGATTCGGAGCACTCACTACCACGTCGCCTAGACGTACATGCCTCATGGCATCTGTGTAATGAGCGACGCCGCCACCAACACCGACAATAAATACATGTTCAACATGCTGAAAATTACCCAGAAGACGAGTTGTAATCGAGCCTGCCGAAGTTGTTGCCTCGCGGCTATCACCTGAAATATCACAATACTTTATATTTAACATAAAAATCTGCATTTAAGAAATGAAATCTCATCTGATACTGATTTTTTATAAAAATACGAGAATTTAGAAGATGGCATTAATTTAGATTAGTTATAAATTAATGATATTCTTATCAGTTCCTTAAATGTACGTTATAAAACAAAATAAGATAAATTTAAATAACTGATTTTAATAAGCGCTTATTTCTACAAGTGGTTTGCTCTTTCAGTGATAAATTCTATTTCCCAACACGAAAAACTTTTAAACTCATTTTTTTAAATAATTTGTTTTTTGATTCCACGTTTAGTAAGCCTATAAACGAAACAAGTGACATACCGATAACCGCTAATTTCGTGGCAACAACTCGATGTTTTCCAATCCATCCAAGAGTATAAATATTAGAGTCACCACCAGAACGGTATCGATGAACTGTTGTACTGTTATCAATAATTGCATCAATGCACTGTTTTTCAACAAACAAACATGTGATTATGGCAACAGTAGGTGGATAATCCCGGGGACCAAAGCTAGTTGGAAGTCGAGACATTTCAACTACAAAAATAGGAAAGTCAACTTATGTCTTTTATTCATATACTTTTGAAAGAAAAAATTGATTTCAGAATTAACGAAAATTGAAAAATCAAAAAAATTTATTTCTTTATAGATCTTTCAAATTTTTCAAAAATTTATGGCTTCTTCTGCAGTTTATAAAAACATTCAATAGTTTATTTATTTAGTATTTCGACTAACTCGTGGTAAATATATTTCTCTGAAAATATTATGTTTAGTTCCTTGACAAAAAAATATTTCAAAATTTACTATTCTCGACGGTACCAACACGAATCCACTCATTCTGTAATTCTTTTACAACACCGAGTGTCTCTAGTTCACGAAGAAATGCGTCAACTTCCACTGTGGTACAACGTAAAGAACTTAAAATTTGTAAATATTACAACAGCTTCACTGTCTGATCAACTATCAACTACCATAACACAAATCATACCTTAAAACACAAATATCATAGAACAATTATACCATTCGATGGAATTGAGTTTAAAATTTTCGAGAACAAGAAATTGATTTATTAAATACACATACGAGATTAAATTCAAAAATAAACTCACTCCGCAATAATATCAACAGATAAACCATTTGGATATGCTTGCTCTAGCACTTCTTGTACATGAGCAATACTGACATTCTCAACTTCAGATCCAGAATCTGAAAGCGAACATTAATCATACGTCAAACGAAGGGTTCTACTAATCACTGCTCTTAACAGAGAAAATTCACTTATTGCAGCTGTTGAAAAAATAATCATTTAAAATCAATATGGTATATAATTTTACTTAATTTTCGAACTGCAATCTTCTAAATACTTGCAACACTCATAATTTTACCATATTCATTAGGATCGGGCATTTGATACGTTTCATTCTCTTTGGCAAACTGCATAACAATTTCGATTTCTCGCAGCATTTCGTATCCACCTTGCATCAACTTCAAAATGCGCTTCAAAAATGTTACATAATCTGAAAGCTTTCAGTAAATTATTTCTTTCTATATCAATAATATGATAAACTCGCTATAAACTTCAAAATGTTCCAAAGCACTATCAGGATTTAAAGAAAATCATTTAAGATCATGAACAATGGATGCAAAAATATTATGTGCAATAATTCTATTGCACATAATCAGAATCAAAGTTTTTGCTTATAAACTAGTTTTAAAAATAGAATTACCTCTAGGAAAGGAGTTGATAAGATCTCGGAAAAACTGCTGAGCAATGGCATGCTTATCAGCACTTTGGTCACTGTCATAAAAACGGAAGCGGAAACAACGGTTTTCCTGAGATTAAAATTTATTATTTTTTATGACTGCTACATATTTTGAACAAATAGAAAGTTTTAGGCACTGGTGAATCTCGTAGAGATTATGACGAGTAAAAACACCAATATTTTCTATGTGATAGAATATATAAAAGAATTTAGTGTTCCTTTAGAATTGAATACGTTACTTATTAGAAATAAACAGCTGATATCTCAATCTAGCTGTCCAAAAACTAACTTGCTTTTTGATGTTGCCACTTCGCAACCAAACTGAGAAACTCAGCAATACATCACATTTGGGATCTACAATATGAATAAATTAATGATCAGCTGCCTGAATAAGCAAAGGCACATGTAAATGCTTATAAATTGATGATAGAAAAAATCATAACAAACTTGGTTTCTCATCTGCGAGCTTATTGACTACAATACCAGTATGTTCACCACCTGCCACATGCAATATCTGATTGTTTTCAAAATCGATGTTCCTGCAAAAAATGAATTGTTTTATGATATTTTATATATTAAATTTGAAATCTTTAAAAGTAAATATAAAAGCTGTTGGTAGTTGTCACATAACGATGTTCAACAAATTTTCGACGTTTAAAGTGTGGATTAAGAAATGCACGCTGACTAGCTATGTTAATTAATGCATAACTTTTGAAAACTTTTCATAATATACGCATAACAAAAAACGAGAAATATTGTAGCTTTACTTAAAAGTAACACAGAGAAAATGTTTTAAATGAGCAAACAGTGTTATTATATGAATATTCAAAGAGCATTTTTTATCGCCCCTCATTTCTTATCTCATGATGATGAATTCATGGACCTTTCTTAATAGAAGTTAACCTTTCTATGATTGCAAATGTCGAATGATTTTTTACGAAAAGAACTTACCGTGAAATAAGAACGACATTGTATTCTGGACTTTGCACAAGTGATGACAATACGACAAATTTGCTAGAATGGCATGCTTCTGTGGCTACCATATCACAAAAAATTTCCTTCAAGCAAATGAAGATTGCTTTGTCTGCTCACAGTTAATACTCTAAAAGATTTAGATACTGTATTGCTGCTTCAGCGTGAATGCCTATCAAAAAGACTTCAGCGCAGCGTGCAATCAACTCAGACTTTTTTGCAATATCTCAATATAAATTCCTGTATCTGTCAGGACCTAACTTTTTACAGGAAGTATTCATACATAGATAGATGTCTTGGGGAAAAAATTTGAGAGGATTCTAAGTAAACGAGTTCAGAAAATTTTTTATGTAAGATATGAAAGTTTAATGAAAGAATGGCAAATAAGAGAAAGAACAGTGGTAAAAAATTTGAAGTAATTTATACTTTTATCAAGACATGAGGTGTTTATCTAAGCTTGCTTGACTGCAGATAGAATTATGAATTAAGAAAGTCAGCAAAGCAAAGTGAGAAATCCTGAAAGTTTGCTATTAGTAGTTCTGTAACTTTCTTTTCCGCACTGTCGCACAAGAGTTATCTCATTACATTGCAGAAAAGCATGCTGACAAAATGTCTCATTCTTGACTTCAAATTTGAAAAAACTATTCGAACATACCGAGAAATATAAACATAACCAAGAATAGATATCATTTAGCTTTGACTACTGTTAGCTGAGTGTTTGGACGGATTAGATATATGAGACTGCTTATCTAATAACATAAAGACTAAAGACCGAAAAAATGCATATCAAATTTGCCACACACTAAAACCTAAATCGCATATTTGGTTATCTATACATCATTTAAACACTGCTGAGTATGATGTTACATTACGTTGAGAGCGCCCCTACCAATAAACAAAGTTCTTTAATTTCCAGATTCAGATTTAGCGCTGACTGACTTCTGATTCCATTACACTGTCAAATATTACTGAACTGATACATATACAAAATCAAGAATCAGTAAAGTTCTCATTTAACAAAATGTTTATTCGAATCCCCTTTATTACTAAATTAAATTAAAGAGATTTTTCAAAGGAACAAAATCACACTTTCTTTAAGCTATTGTAAGTCATTTTAGCCACATAAATCTAATAAGAAAAATTTGAAAATGACTTCGAATTTAAAAAATTTTCAAGCGCACTAACTGAGTAAGAACAAGAAAAGCAACAACTGGAAGGGAGTCAAAGGCAAAATGGGTACATTTACACTACTATTACTTCTGCATAGATATTCTCATTTAAATAATATATTCGCTTGACATGAAACTGAAAGTGAGACAAGTTCATTCAGAAATTACAGCACTCTTCAGCCGAAATTAAAACCGAAACAGCTGTCCAGTGAAGAGAACTAATTAGCTATTAGCTGAATAACGTGTACAGAATTAAGTAGCTAAATAGAGCAAGCGCCAAAACTTAAACAAATAAATACGGTTTTTCCAAATTTTATTACTACATGAAGTAAATGAAACGACCAAAAACACAAGTGAGTATTTGCCGTTACGAGAGAAATGCTTTTTACGCTTGGAAGCAAACTTTGTACAGTAATGTAATTGCAAATAATTGGCGTTAAGGAAGACCAAACCGGTATACAAGTGACACCTACTACCAAATGCGTGCCAAAGTGCCAAGAGTTTCAGATTTCATGACTTCATTACATCCATATTCATCCATATTTTATTCTCATCAAATGACAATTTATTCAGAGAAACCTGAATGACAAAAATAGCCACCAATGGGTACTATTCGAAGCAATTAATATTTGCACATTACTAAAAACGAGTACCTCTTACATACAAGTTAAATTAATAACTCAACTGAAACTGATCTTCTACTTATAACAATTAGCAACAGCTCACGTCCCCTTCTAACTCATACTTCAGTTTTTGGTGCATTTTCTCTTCCGTTCGAACAGATTTGGTTCCAACTTTTGTAAATGATTACAAATACTTTCACTTGCTAAGAATGACAAAGTTATCCCATAAGCACAAAAATGATCTTTTAATACCTTTTAATGCATTTATCTCACATATATCCGTCTGTTTCTAATGCACAACATCTGTTGGAGTACACGTGCTTCTTAACAAAATATATTCTCTCACTATATAAGCAATAACAATAATAGCTTGCAGTACTGCCTCCAAGTTCACATTGAAATGTAGCTGGAAAAACAGATGTGACTCATACCTATACGCGTATATATCTGTGTATGTTTGTGTATGTGTTTGTGTGTGCGTGCGTGTATGTGTAAGTGTGTGTATGTGTATGTACGTGTATGTGTATGTGTATGTGTATGTGTGAGTATTAGGTACGTGTAAAAGGACTAAAAGAAATAGAGTAAAAAAAGTATAAATTATTATTTTAACTCGATAATTGGATTATGTTCATAAATTTGCTTCACAATTGATGGATGAAAAGAAATTAATTTAAGATGCGTTGAATATTACGTCTTCCAATTTATCAGTAATGAAGCAAAAATTATTGATTTCCTCGAGAGAAAAGTTTAAACTGCGAAGAGAAATGAGCAAAAAACAACCTAAAAAGATTGATATTTTTGAATCAGAATTCAAATCACAAAAAAGTTCTTATTTGCACAGATAGCATTTGCATCGATAGTTAAATCTGTTATTAATTCAAGCTGTCCAATGACATGTCAATAAGAGTCATAAGATATGATAAGAGGTCACGCATGCAAATATGGAAACAACCAATGCCAAACAAGAATAGCAAATAAATATGAATAAAAAACTGCAAAAATCGAAATAACATCTGTTGGGCTCAAACACTGAACGTCAAGTTGTGGGAGGGCTCCAGAAAGCAATTAAAAATTTGGTCAAATTTAAAAAATGAGTCTTACCCCGCTATGAAAATGCATATAACTCATGGAGTAAAAATTACGCTTATGACCACAAAATGAGTGGGGTTGTCCGCCAAAGATTCTAGGAAACGTGTCATTGTTCTCGAATCTTCTTGCAGAAATTGTCATTTCTACACACATTCAGGTCTGTTTCATCAATACTTCTAGTTGAGGTGTTAATGTAATGAGGATAGAATATATTAGTAGCAATTATTCGATCTGATCTTGCGATCAAACTCTGATCATTCGCTTGAAAATAGTTCTAAATAACTTTTTTTATGGAAGGGAGGCAAAGAGCGCAACACAAATGTGAACGTTAATAAAAGTTCCAACGGCAGTGCTCACTATATTCTCTGACACTGCTTGCATTGTTGCCGGTTTTCTAAGGTCAGAGGTGAGAATGCGAATTAAGGGTGATTGAGGTGAAAGTTGAAAATGAGTGCACGTCGTCGCGAGAAGTACTGAGTGAGAAGTACTAAGAATGCGTAGTAGTGCCAAACGCAATTAATACTTGCAATGAAAAAATTCAATAAATATAGCACACTGTTGAAATAACTGCGAGAATAAATAGCATTTATTCATCGCAAAGTAAACAGTTCCAAAATTTGCTGCTATTTTTTGTATTCCAGTTGATCAGTAATCAGTACACTTTGAATCCTCTGCACTAAGAATACGAAAGAAGCGCTACTTCTTTTCACTTTCCTTCCGATAGTAAAGTTTGTTTGCAACTTCGATTAAATTGTAAGTGCTCATTCTGAATACAGTAGAAGGAAGAGAAAAAGATGGATTATTGAATGAGGAGAGTACTACTCAGTCTTATAAACAATATTCAAATGTTGGAAATGAGGAAAAAGTTAGAGGTCAAAGTTCACTAGATGTTAGTTAGTCAGTTAGTCAGGCATGCTTAGGACGTCATATTTCTATATAGTAGCACTTCTTTCGCTGAATACTTTCTCAAACTTATATATATATATATA